AAACATAGCATAGGCCCTGGGCATGATGTAATCGAAGTGTGCTGCAAACTTAAATTTGGAGTCAAACAACACTCCTAGATCCAAGGATTCCTGCCGCAGTTGTAGAGGTTGACCATTGATATTATAAGATGTGACGAAATTGTATGCGGATTTACTGTAAGTGACATAGAAGCACTTGCTTATGTTAAGAGGAAGCGAATTTCGGCTACACCAAGAGCTCAAGGAATCTAAGTCATGTTGAACCAATTGTGAGTCTGGCGCTAATTTAATAGACTTAAAAATTTTTAAATTATCTGCATACAGGAGACACTCTGAAGATAGAAAGAACCTCACATCATTAATGAAAATGATGAAAAGCAGAGATTGCCAAATAGGAATCCGAGAATTTTCCATTAATATTAATAATAATCGATTTAGCGTCGCTTGTGAACGGTTGTGTTTACTCTTGTGCTCTTAATTTTTGTCTATTCTGTGATTTTTTGCGAGTGTTTTGTGTTTGTTTATTAACAAAGCTTAGACTAACCGCTGGGTTAGTGTGTTTAGTGTTTTTTACTAGATCTCCCAGTGATTATAGTTATTTTAACATTTATATTAGATTAGTTTAATTTCCAAGCTTTGTTAGTGTAATTTTTATACTCACTAAACTTGCTAAAACTCTTTGATTCTCACTCTCTCTCCCGCTCTATATTACAACTGTAACTTAAACTCTCTCTGAACCTGCCAAATTTCTGGTAGACTTTTGGTGTGCTATTCTCTTGTCTCTCTCTCTCTCTCTCTCTCTCTCTCTGCTTGCTTTACATTGTAACTGTTCCTGCGTAAAGTTGTCAGTGTCCCACAAGCAACGCTCAATTGATAGAAGATTTATTCTCTCGTGCTCTCTTACATTTAAATTAATACGCGATCTCGCGCTCTTATTTTTTTTCGGGTTTTGTGCCTTTATGGTTTTGGAATTTGATCCCAGTGCCAAATTTACTTGAGGTATTTTTCATATATTATTATATTTTATTTCATTTACTTTAAATGCTCTTTTCTGCTCTAAGAAAAATTGTACTCTTTCGTCTTCAACTAAAGACCCCTTTAATTTTCTGCTGGCTCTGCGAGTCGATTATGCACGTTAAATGCGCAGGATTTACTGGTAGAGTCAAAGACTTCATTGATCAGAATTCTGGACTCATGTGGTCATGTGGATCCTGCAAGGAAATGGTTGTTGAGATGAGCGGCTTTATGAAGCAGACTCGAGACAGCCTTTTGAATCTCTCTGGTGCTTTTAAACAGCTCAATGAGGGGTTCAATTCCGTTTGTGCCCAATTTAATAATAAAAAATTACTAACTGAGTCGCCTAAACGTAAAAAAACCAGCTTAGCGGCAGTTAATACGGTCACGGTATCCACCCCAAATCCGAACTTGGTGGCTGCAGCAGTCTCTGTTGACACTGTGGTAAGTGAACCCACTGCGCCTATGGATACAGCTGTTTTAGGTGAAGTCACTGCTTCTCGAAGTCGGGTGGTAAAAAAACCTTCAGTGCCGGCTACGGTGCCGACCGTACATATAGGTACAGAAGTTACCGTTTCTGGCTCTCAGCTTAGTGAGGTGCAATCTCCTGCTGGGGGACGTAAGAAATTATCAGTTGTTCCACAAAGAAAACAATTATTTGTTTCGAGATTCACCCCAGATACCACATCTAAGGATGTTTTGGAATTTATTCGTGAAAAATTCCCATCCGAGAATATTTCAGTGGAACAATTTAGATTTTCATATGCTCGTAGTATATCGTCGTTTAAAATATTTGCTCCGCCTGATGTGTTTAAGGTACTACTTTCTGAAAGCTTTTGGCTTAATGATGATTTAGTAATAAAAGAATTTGTTCCCAATAAACCGAGAACAAATAACAGACCCTCCACTGCGCCAAAAAACTAAAAAGTTTATTTTTGGCTTATCAAAATGTTAGCGGACTAAATATGAAGCTACCCAAGCTTTATGCTGACTCCTCTGCATTTACTGCTGATATTTTGGCTTTTACGGAAACTTGGCTGAAACCAGAGATATCTGACAATGAAGTTCTGTTAAACAATTTTAATGCCTATAGGACCGATCGCTCATCACGTAGGGGAGGCGGTGTGCTGATTGCCGTTAGCACTAGCCTAACATCCGAGAGAATTAACTCTGATACTCCTAATGAAATTGAATTTGTTAGTGTGAAAGTTTCCTTGCAATCATTCTCAATATTTGTTACATGTTCCTATATTCCACCTGGCTCTGATTTAATAATTTATGAGCACCACCTGTCTGCGATAAAATCTGTTCTATCCCTTCTTTCTAACAGTGACCTTTTGATTGTTTTGGGTGACTTTAATCTCCCTGATATTTCTTGGTCTCCTCCTACTGACTCACTAGTCGCGATACCTCTATCCGCCCATGATTTTGTAGATGGTCTTCTAGAATTATCATTACAGCAAGTAAGCTTTATACGGAATTCATTAAATAGACAACTAGATCTTGTGTTTGTTTCAGACCCGTCTGAAGTCACGGTATCTAGAATTGACGCTCTTGTTGTACCTGAAGACCGATATCATCCAACAATGGAATTGACAATCTGCCTCCCATGCGTTGATACCCTCTCTCCTTTAGTTTCTCAAACTAAAGTGAGATGTTTCCGAAAATGTAACTATAAAAAACTTAACGACATGATTTCTCAATATAATTGGACAGAATTGTACAATTGTATGGATATTGAAAGTGCCACTGAACACTTCTATATAGTGTTAAATACCTTTTTTAATGAATAAGTTCCTGATAGGTTTCCTTCAAAGACAAACAGGCCACCTTGGTTTACCAATGCGCTTCAAAGACTTAAAAACCTTAAGACAAACACTTATAAAAAGTATAAGAAATCGGGTAAGCCATCTGATTTTTCGAAGTATGTGGTGGCTCGATCGGATTTTAATGTTCTCAATAGTCATTGCTATTCTATGTATTTAAGTCGGTGTAAATTTGAATTTTCAAATGATCCGAAGCAGTTTTACAACTTTGTCAATGCCAAGCGTAAGTCGTCAGCATTGCCTTCATCGGTACGTTTTAACTCAATGGAGGCATCGACGGATTCTGAAATTGCTGATTTATTTGCCGAGTTTTTCCAAACTACTTATAGTTCGGCTGCTTGGTCAAATTCTAACTACCCTAAGCCCTTAAATAAGGCAAATTGTATCTTTACCCCTGAAATTACGGAAATTTCTCTCGTAAGAGACTAAGAAAAAAAAACGCCAACTTATTCTCCCGGTCCTGATGGACTCCCCGGGTGTGTGCTTAAGTTTTGTGCGCCAACCATATGTAAACCGATTCTTAAACTTTTTAATTTGTCTATTTCATCGACAGTTTTTCCTACTATCTGGAAGGACTCTTTTATCATTCCACTTCACAAAAAGGGTGCGAAGGCGGATGCCCAGAATTACAGAGGTATTTCTAAATTGTCGGCAATTCCTAAAGCATTTGAACGTATTATTACTTCTCATTTGCAACATTTATGTTCCTCGCTAATATCACCGTGTCAGCATGGTTTTTTTAAGCGAAGATCGACCACCACCAACCTTCTGGAATTGTCATCTATTGTAATAAATGGATTTAAGAATAAAATGCAGACTGACGTTATATACACAGATTTTAGTAAGACCTTTGACTCTGTCAACCACTCTCTTCTCTTATTCAAATTAATTCAGCTTGGGTTTCCATGTAATCTATTAACTTGGATTTCAAGCTATTTGAATGGTAGGACTCAGAGGGTTATATTCAAGAACGCTGCCTCAAAACTGATCTATGTGACATCTGGAGTGCCTCAGGGTAGTCATTTGGGCCCTTTGCTGTTTACTTTGTTTATTAACGATCTTCCTTCTATCATAACACACTCTCGTGTACTAATGTATGCTGATGATGTTAAGCTTTGTTTATCACATAATGATATAGCGTCGGGTTTCAACTTACAGTCAGATATTGATTGTTTTCAGGGATGGTGTGAGTATAACCTTTTAAATTTGAACTGCCTTAAATGCAACGTTATGACTTTTCATAGGGGTACTCCTACTTTTGTTAGTTACTCTCTTCAAAATACGCCACTCGATCGTATATATTCAGTTAATGACTTAGGCGTTCTTCTGGACCCAAAACTTAAATTTGACTGCCACATAATGTCCACTGTCAGCAAGGCCATGAGTGTTCTTGGGTTTATAAAGCGTTGGTCAAAAGAATTTGATGACCCTTATACAACCAAATTATTATTTACCTCCCTTGTCCGTCCTATTTTGGAATATTGTTCTTCGGTTTGGAGTCCACAATATCAAGTGCATATTGACCGTATTGAGTCGGTACAAAAAAAATTTCTTCTTTTTGCCCTTCTTAATTGAACTGGGATCAAAACATAAGGCTACCTTCCTATCAGAGTAGATTACTATTGCTTAATTTACCTACCCTTGCAAATCGTAGAACAATGCTTGGTACTATTTTTATGCAAAATCTTATAAGAGGTGATATTGATTCTGTAGAACTTGTAAACCGCCTAACTTTCAATGTTCCTGTTAGACTAACACGAAATTATTATCCCCTAAATTTGCCACGATGTACATCTAATTTTTGTCTGCACGAGCCCTTTCGCGTTCTATGTAATAATTATAACAACCTTTATCATTTAATTTGCACTTCAACTTCTATCCCGGTACTAAAAACTATTATTTTAACTCATTTGCTTCATTCTTAGATGCTTCTTTTATTTTCATTTGTGTCCCGTCTCTATTTGTTTTTTGTATCTTCCTCGCGAACTCGTATTTTTTGCCCAAATTGATAAAAGGGCCCCGCGCGTAACAAGCACGTGCTTGGTGTCGTTGGGCCACTTGTTTGTACTGCTCGTAGTGCATCAACGTCCATCATATAATATTTTGGTCTTATTTAAATCCCTTTATATAAAAAAACATACTCGAAACTCATTATAAAACTACTTAACTTTTTTTTTATAGATACAAATTTGTTTCAACATATTGAACCCTGAGAAAGAAGCAATTTTATCTAGTAAATGGGACACATTTAAGGAAAAGGTTTTTTGCTTTTACGAAGAGCAAATACAAAACGAAGAGCAACTCAAACTATTAAAGACGGTTCAGAAAACTGTATCACTTGGTAAAGTATAATTTTTTTTACATTTTTAAATTTTATCTTCTTATGATAAGCTTGACTTTTTCTAAATTATGCCATTACCAAATATCTAATAACATATTCTTATTCACAGATTGCAAGGACTACATTTACACTGTATTGCTCACAAAGGAACGAACAAGCGAAAGAAATTATCACTACTGGGACTCGCAGGAAAGTTTTGTACGCACATGCAGGCGTACGAATGTGGCAGATCACAAAAATCTGTGATTATAAAAAACATTAAAGACTTTACTAGCTGCCCTAAGCATATGTATCATATAAATTCTAAGAGTTACGTTAAGTACAAATGTATTTAAAACAAAAATAATGATAACGTGTTAGCATGGTAATAAAAATAATGTAAGCAGAACAATTTTTTGGATGATATGTTTAAGTTTATTTTCAATAAAAACACATTGAATACTTATTTGTGGCTTTTTAAATATAAATCACGCTTGTTTTAAGCTACGGATCGGTTTAAATTGAATATGCACCATAATAGTATGGCTTAAATATTATATTTAAATCAAAAAAAAAGTACAGTTCTTTTAACGGGGATTATATTTAATTTATATAAAATTTGTATTTATATTAAAGTTAATCCCAGTATGTTTTAAATATGAGAATCAATTAATCCAAATAAAAATATGCTGAGTTTTAAGGCGGGCTATTATTATTTTAACTATAAAAACCATTCAAATGAAATTTTCTGTTTACTGGAACTAAATATGAAAATATTTAAAAGAAATATAAAAATATAATACTTTTTACTATGGAATTTATTTAATTTAATTATTTTGTACTTTTTTAACATATTTGATCGAAATTAAAAAACCGTTGGATTTACTACGAGACTTTTCAAAAAATAATTAGGATCTACACCGCTCGGAAAAATAGTTGAAACGTTGGCAATATAGTGACATTTTCGATGTTTTTTCTACCAGTATATTTAATTGGTGCTGCTTGGTTAACTGCAGAGGTTGAGCCGCTGAGGCGGTTACAGAAAAAATTAACGTCTTTTCTTTCCGCCAAGATCAGATGGACGCGGTGAGGACTCTAGGCCTTAGATCGCGATGGGAAACTGCTGGTGCTTGGTTGACTTCTGAGGGTGATCCCATGGGCGCGGTGGGCGTGACTACAAGAACGGCTGCCGGAGGGTGCTCCTGTGGACGCGGTGAGCGACCGCGTGACTCTAAGCACGGCTGCCAGGGAGTGCTCCCGTAGACACTGTGGGTATCCGTCGATCTGCAGCACTTGCTGCAGCTGCGGGTGGCCAACGCGGCTCGAGACGAACGACGTCAGAAACCCGTTTAAGCCCGGTTATTATTTTTCAGCTTACATTGGCAACCGCCAATATAAATAACTATCTAAGTGCAAATGTACCTATGTATTGTGAGGAGTTGAATAACTCCCCACAAATATAAGCAGCAGCAGCAGATGGCCGGCCGCTAACCAGATACGCGGCGAATTCGCGTAGTAACGGCGCGGCGAGGAGAGGATGGAGAACGAGAGAGTTTGGAGACCAAGGATGGAGAGCGAGAGAGTTTGGAGACCAAGGATGGAGAAAGAGAGAGAGTTTGGAGACCAAGGATGGAGAATGAGAGAATGGAGACTTGGCGGGCAGGGCAAGAGTGCCGTGTGCAAAAGGAGATAACGGAACTCTACCGGACCTTGGACTCTCCCGCGAACTTTGGACCGGGAGAGGAAGTGCCACATCTCGGCGGTGGAGCGGCACACAGGCGTTCCACAAGCATCACGGGAATCAGCGGGACGGCAGCAGTGGGCAGAGCATCGGTTGGAAGCGGTACGTGAAGGACAAGTGGGTCAACCAGGAGTCACGGACTTTGGACCCGAAGTGGAGAGATCCAGCGGGTCGTGCGCAAAAGGGAAATAACGGTTCCCGGTGGCCCTATATAAGGCCGCAGAGCGCTGGCAGCTGGATCAGTCGATCACGAGGAGTCAAACTTTTAAGATCAGTAAAGTACCAAGTGAACAGTCAGTCAAGCAAGTAATCTACGAGGGAACCACAACCAAGCGAGTCGTCGGAAGCAGCGCCGTGGGAAGCATACAAGGAGCAAGATCGCCACGTCGAGACGTTCGGGATTGGGACTTGGCTAGGGTGGAACGTTCGTTTACACTAGGCGTAGAAGCAAAGTAAAGCGCGAGGCAGCTTCCTGGCGTTCCGCCTTGACTGTCCGCGCGGGCTGATCAGAAACCCCAGTGGGACCATCCGGGACAGAGCAAGGGACAGGCGGCGGTGTGTCGAAAGGAGTGATCCTGGAGAGCGCAGCTTCTGTTCACCCTAGTCTGAGATCGGTGACGCTTCCCTAAGCCCGTACGGCTGTTCCCCCTCACGAGTCCGAGTCGTTACCAGCAGTCACCAAGTCAACGCGTCAAGGGCGAGCAGCGAGCGAGCATCTTCAGGGAGCTGCGAGGATCTTCAGGGAGCTAAAGGTGGTGGGACGAACACACAATCTACTGAGCTAGCCGCAAGAATCTCGTAGCGAGCAGACCACAAAAATCAGTTCGTTACATCTGGCGCCCAACGTGATTGTCCCAGTAGTGAAAGCATCTTAAACAGAATGGGAAAGAAGTGGATCTACCGGCTTAAAAAGGAGGACTTCTCCAATGTCGCACAGGGGCTTAATGTCACCCTGGACGGCAGATTAGAGGACTTGAAAAAGGCATTATCCGAGTATTACTCAGAAACGGATAATGACCCACAACTCGTTGACATCTGGGCCGAGTTGGAAGCTACATACCACGACAATGCCGGCCCGTGCATCACGTTATCGAACGCCCAAGGGAACAACTTAGTGGCAAGCCTGAGCGTTGACAACCTACAAAAGGAGGCAAACAGGAGAGAATCAAGTCAAGACAGGAAAATAACAGCACTGATCTCGAGACCCAGTCAGTCAGGCTATGCAAGGATCGCTAAACAGATCCGCGAATGGTCGTTCAGGTTCGACGGGGCGGAAAAACCGTTCGAGTTCCTGCAGCAGGTGGAATGGACCGCCAACACATACGGCTTGGAGTTAGACATGATTCCCCGAGCGATGCCTGAAATGATTAAGGGAAGGGCTCTGAAGTGGCTTATCGCCAACAACAAACAATGGAAAACCTGGGCGGAGTGCATAGAGAGTTTCCACACATACTATCTGTCGAGAGACTTCTTCACCAGGCTGGCGGATCAGGTCAGGCAACGGAAGCAGGGCTTCAGCGAGTCGTTCAAAGACTAAATGATCGACATGCAGACGATGGTGAGGCCACATAATTATTCCACGAAAGATACCCTAAGGATCATCAAGGAAAACTGCACCCCAAGTCTATGGATATTCCTAAGGGCGTACAAAGTGTCGGACCTGGACACGCTGATGATATTAGCAGATGAGTATGAAGAACTCGAAAAGAAGCGGGAAGCGTTCGCACAAGAAAACAAATGCTCGAAGACCAAGTCGGCATCACCAACGCAGGTCACATGCAGAAGATGCGAAGAGACAGGAACCAGGTGGGGGCACATACAAGGCCACAATCGACACCGGGGCAACAGCAAGCTTTGTAGGCAAAGAACAGGCGGACAACCTGGCTGCCCTCGGGAAGATTACGAGGATTCGACGGCAAGTTAGGTTGGCAGACGGGAGATGTTTCGGAATCGATGAGCAGCTGGAGGTGGAAATCGCGTTTGCGAACAAGCGACTGAGCATGAGTCTGCTGATACTACCAGAGGTAGTGGATTCATTAGTGTTGGGATGGAACTTTCTAACACAAGTCGGTACCAAGACTAAGTGCGCTGGACACGAAGTGATAATACCGGCCAGGAAACGACAGTCGTACAACGGGACCAAATTTCTGGAAGCAGAGCTATCGAGTTTTAGCAGCGTGAAGGGAACATCGAACATGGCAGAGCACCAGATCACGATGAAAGACGACAAACCAATAAAGCAGCGATACTACCCCAAGAATCCGAAAGTTCAAGGGGAGATAAATGCGAAGGTGGACGAGCTTCTCCAGATGGGATACATAGAACATTCAACAAGCCCATACAGCTCTCCCATCATGATGGTTAAAAAAAGTGGGGCAAATGGAGACTGTGCGTCGACTTTAGACAAATCAACGCCAAGTCGATAAAGGATGCATACCCGATGCCCCGAATAAATTATATTCTCGACCAACTGAGGGAAGCCCGGTACATCAGCAGCTTGGACCTAAAGGATGGGTACTGGCAAATCCCACTGAAAGCAGACAGCAGGCAGTTCACGGCGTTTACAGTGCCGCGGAAAGGCTTATTCCAGTGGAGAGTAATGCCATTCCGACTTCATTCGGTTCCGACGGCTAAAGGAGGCAAATCTGAGGTTAAACCCGGAGAAGTGCCAATTTTTCAAGAAAGAGCTGTTGTATCTTGGTCATCGAGTGACTAGCGAAGGAATAGGTAAATATATCAAGAAAAGGTTGCAGCCATCGCCGAACTCGAACCTCCATCGACAGTAAGAGAGCTCCGACAGTACCTGGGCGTAGCATCATGGTACCGCCGGTTTGTACCTGACTTCGCAAAAATAGTCAAACCTCTCAACCTTGCTACGCAAGAGCAGTAAGTGGGTGTGGACACAGGAACATTAGACGGCGTTCGAAGAGGTGAAGGCAAGACTCGTCGCAGACCCCGTACTGGCATGCCCGGATTTCGACAATCCATTCATCTTGCAAACTAATGCGAGCGACTAAGGCATTGGGGCAATCTTGACCCGGGAAACTGAACGAGGCGAAAAGGTAATCTTTTACTCAAGCCGAACGCTCAACGGCGCTGAGAAGAGTTACTCAACGACCGAGAAGGAGTGCTTGGCAATCGGCTTGGCGATCCGAAAGCTCAAGACGTATCTGGAAGGTTACCACTTTAAAGTAGTAACCGACCACATGGCACTGAAGTGGCTCAACAGCATAGAAAGCCCTTCAGGGAGGATCACCAGATGGGCCCTGGAGTTGCAGCAGTACGACTTCGAAATAGCGTACAGGAAAGAACAACTCAACGTGGTGGCAGACGCTTTGTCAAGGCAGCCACTACCGGAAACACTTCGAGGGATCAAGGAGACGTCGGCGGCGGAAGCTTCTGCAGCATGCAGCTGGATTCTGGAAATGCGCGAAAAGGTAAGGACCTAGCCGCAAAAGTATCCGGACTACGTGATGGAGGGTAACACCCTGTACAGGAATATACCTCATAGAGCGGGCAGCGAAGATATCGCAACATGGAAGATGTGCGTTCCGAAAGCTCTACGGGAATTGCTGCTGAAGGAGAACCACGACTCACCGGCGGCTGGCCATGTAGGAAGCCGAAAGACAATAGCACGTCTGGCAGCCT